ACACTCGCCACGCCCGCCCGGCCGCGGCCCCCGCGCGTTCCCGGCGCGTCCCGCAGCGAGCGGCCGGCGCCATCTAGTGCTGCTCCCCGCCCGCCTCCCTTCGGGCTCGCTGACCCCGCTCCTGCCCTTTTCCACCCCAAAATTTCCCGTCCCTCCACGCTCCCCATGCCTGGAAGTGTTCCAGGCCAGACCGGATGGAGCTCTGAGCACCCCGGGCTAAGATAAGGTGTCCCGGCCCGTGACGGGGGGTGGAACGAGACGAGTTTTAACGTCCCTTCCAACCCAAAACATTCTGGGATTCTGTGAAACGGGTGCCGCCCAGGATCAGGGTGCATCCAGCAGCTGGCACAGCCCACCCATGCCGTGCCATGGCGAGGTCACCCCTGGGCACTGCTCACCTTGCAGGAGGTGCCCAGGAGGTGGCCATCTCGCTTCCAGGTCAGGCTCTGCAGCTGGTCCCCGTGGGAATCCAGGACTGCGGGGATAAAGAAGGGTCAGGATCAAGTAGGGTCCCTCCTGCAGACAGGGCAGGAGCCATCACTCTCCCACGCAGAATATTTCCCAGGAGAAATGATCTGGTCTTTCCAAAGGGCTGGTGGCAGCCAGGACCCAGTGGGAGCCTGCTGTGTCTGTGCAGGGAGCATTCCTGCAGGAGCTGGAGACAAAGGGCAGGAGCCCTGCAAAAGGCACAGGCCTATGCTGCCACCCACCTCCTCTCCCCCTCAGGGTGGCTGAGGTCTGGGCAAGGCTGGTCAGCAACCACCCACATCTACCCATGCCCTGGGACATGCAGAGAGAGGGACCTGCCACCCAGGGGATCCCCAGCAGAGATCCTGCAGACACCTTGGCCAGTACCGGAGTGTTTCCATCAGAGCATGGGGGAGCACAGGCTCAAGGGGCTGTGGTGCCCTGCCCAAAAAGCCTGAGCTGCCTGTTCAGTGACACCGAGGTCAGGCCTTGAGCCCTGGCACTGGCACGGTGAGAACATGGGGCAGACACACAGGGAGGACACGTGTCATGGGCAGTCACAGCCCTGCCTACCTGTCAGGGGCTGCTGCTGCCCCAGGTCCCACACTGTGACTCTCTTCCCTGCAGCGCTGGCCAGGACAGCGTCCGCCGTGGGGTGGAACTGCAGCGCATCCACCGGGGCCCCCCCGGGCCCCAGGGTCAGCCCCGCGCTGCTGGGAACGTCCTGGCTGCTCTCGGGCAGGCGCCACACCTTCACCTGCAGCCCCAGGAGAGGAGGGTGGTCAGTCCCAGGGCAGGTGAGCAGGACCCAGCTGGGTGCTGGCAGTGCTCCACCTGGGCTCGCTGCTTTCTCAGGCTTTGGTCCCTGAGGTCTCTGAGCATTCCCAGGTCATTGCAGCTTGGTGGGAACAGGTCCAGATAGGTGGAGGCTGATCCTTGACCATCTGCTCTGTCCCCCTGGGGACGTCCCACTCCGCTCTCCCCAAGCTGGCACCCTCCACCCCATGCTCCTCTTAGTCCCATCACTCCAGCTCTGCAGCAAACCCCAGAGACATGCTGGGGGGCGTGAGGTGTCCCCTTGGGACTCCTGTCTCTGAGCACTCACCGTCTCATCAGCAGAGCCTGTGGCCAGCAGGAGCTGATCGAAGGGTGAGAAGTCAAAGTCAGTGACCACATCTGGAAGGAGAAGGGCAGAAGTTTGTCCCCACCTTCCCCTGCAGACAGTGTGTCTGCCCCTCTGCTCTTCCCAGCCTCATTCCTTCCCTACACACACAGCAGTGGGGGGCAGATTCAGCCCCATCAAGGTGTTTTGGAGCAGCTCAGCTTTGCTGTGAGTGCCTGAGCCCCTCTACTCTCCCTCAGAGACCTGCACACCTTTGGCAGGGATAGGAACCCTGGAGGGAGCATCCCCCTGCCTGATGCATGAACTGACAGCCCCACAAGGCGCAGGGAGCAGCAGGAACAGCACCAGGGTGTCTGTGCCATGTTCTGCTGGAGCCATGCTGGTGACAAGGCTCCCTTTGTAACACCCCAGGCCGGCATGCCAGCGGCAGGGATGCTCCCGGCAGCAGGGAGCCTCGTGGGAGGTGGGAGGAAGGCTGGCACCAGCAGCAGCAGCCCCTCGGATGCATTTGGCACGCTCAGTAAAGTAGGTCACCGTGTACTTTTCCGCTTCCAGGAGACAGGCCCCGCAGGCATGAAGAGCAGGCAGCTCGCTTGGCTGCATCCACCCGGGAGGAGAGAAAATCCATTCCGTGCCACGGAGGCGTTGCTCTGGCACAGCCGGCTTCAAAGGACCCCTGCTGATCTCATTAGGAAGCCGTGGAGGCGGTGCTGGCTCCTGTGCACCCCTCTGGTGCTCCCCGGGGAGCAGAACAACTCACTGCCTGCTTTTCCAGCCTGAGGAAGCTCCTGGTGCCAGGGGCTGAGGTGGCACAGGCTGGGCACTCTGCGCAGCCCTGCAGCCGTGCCAGGGCGCACACACAGGGAGGCAGTGCTGGAACCAGCTCCCATCTTACTGTTCTGGTGTAAATTTGGAGAAATGGGTGGTCAGTGCCCCTCAGGCTGCCATGGCTGCTCCAGCACCAGGAGAGGGGCACCCTGAAGTGGGCACCACCCCTCGCTGTGCCTGGGCAGGGTACAGCCCTGCTTCTCTGCCAGCAGCTTCTTCCCTGCAACACTGTGCCCACATCAGAGCTGCTGGTCCAGCCTGTTCCTCCTGCCCCTGGAGCCAGCAATGCCTCGGTGATGCCAACTCCAGCCTGGCACTGGGTGTACTGGGAATTTCAGGGCGTGCTATGAGTAATATAGAAAGGCTGTGCTAGAAAGCTGTGAGGAAGAGCTACATGTTCAGGCCTCACTGCGGCCTGAGAGAGGAAGGAACATGGATTGATTCCAGCCTGGTGTCACCAGAGCCCACAGGTGATGGTCCCTAGCAGGTCCCCACGTCCCTTGCCTGGCAGACAGCCCACCACAGCCTGCCAGGCTTGGACTCAGCACCTGAGCCCCCCACACAGCCCATGTGGGGCCAAACATGTCCTGTGGAGGTGGGAGGTGGCACCTGACACCCACCTGAGTGGCAACAGAGCTGAGATATGGTCCTCTTGCCCCCATCCTCACACTCCAGCGGCACAATGCCCAGCACACCTGCAGGAGAGGACATAGGAGCAGGTCAGGAGTCCAGCCTGGGACACACGAGGGCTACCCAGCTTTGCAATGCAAGCCAAGAGCTGGGAGACTGTCAGCACTTTTGGGGGATCTCAGGGAAAGCCTCCTCCACTCACTCTGGGGTCTGGGGGACTGACCCACCACCCAGCCTCACAGAGATGCCTGGGACAAATCCATCCCACTCCCCAAGCAGTGCAGGGGACCCTTGTGCCTCACCGGCTGCCTCGGCGTTGAAGGCGATCCAGCAGCAGCTGGCCTTCACATGGTTCCCACAGGATGTGACAGAGCCTGCTCGGATACCACTGATCCAAGCCTGGGATGGAGAGGGAAAAAACATGTCAGGGGCTGCCTTGTTATGGCAGGGCCTGGAGCACAGCTGGAGGACCACTGGCACAGCATGGCCAGAGACCTCAGGCCCACAGGAGCTCCCATGGTGACAGAGAGCTGGAGACTGCTGACATCAATGGGATTGTCCCGTCCTCTGAGGTGTCCCAGGGCAATGTGGCTGCTCATGATCCTGTCAGACATCCCAGCTCCCGGTGCTGCCTCTCCCCCAGATTGGCCCATCTCTGGGGTGTCCCAATGTGAGAAGTGCTCAGAGGTCTTTGCAATAAACTGGGGCCAGGAAATCTGGATGGGACAAAAGCTCTTGGGCTGTGAAACACCACAGGGTCAGGCTGTGGCTGACCAAGGCAAATAAACACTTCCAGCAGCACACTTCTCATGTGGACACAGCTCCAAAACCAACCTCCCACTCTGCAGTGTTTCCCAGGGCTGACCACTGCACTTGTGTGGCCCTGGGACACCCTCCATCAGCCAGACGCTCTCCAGGTGACAGACACCCCACCTCAAGTGGCCACCAGGGCCATGAGCTCCTTGGCACACCCAGGCCCAAGTCCAACCCTTGACAGTGGCAATGACAGGTGTTTTATGGCTGGCACCAGGCCTTGTGCCCACAGCAGCCCCTGGAGCTGCAGCAGGTGTCCAGAGCACTGGATACCCCACAAACTGGGCAGGTACCCGGGTAGGGAAGGGAAACCCCGAGCCCCAGGTTTCCTGTCCTTGCACAAGTTCCGTTTGAGGCCTGACAGGGAGCAGTGGTTCCTGCAGCACTTCCTCCTGTCACAGCTCGCTGCAGACCTGTTAACCCTTCTCCTGCCAAAGGCAGGTTCCTGTCCCCACACCCAGCAGGTGGGCAGGGGGCTGCAGTGGGGATGGGAAACAGGTCTGGAGCATGAACAGGACCCTGAAATAAGGGCCCCACTATCTGCATCCCATCACCCTGCACTGGGCCCTCAGTGAGGGGGACACCAGTCACCAGCACCCAGGGGTGCCACGCAGGACCCCTGCAGTGAGGTTTCACAGAGCTGGTCCAGCCTGACCCCACGATTTCCCTGTGCACAGGCAGCAGCCCTCAAGGAAGTGATCCTTCCTGCAGCATGCCAGCTCGGCCAGGAAAGCACGTGAAACCATCCTGGCTACATCCCCAGAACAAACTGTGAGCTCTCAAGGATCATCAGCCAGCAGAGCCCTGCAGATGGTGCCTGAAGAGGAGACTCAGATGTGATCCCTGATGTTTACACTGCACCTCCCGATCCAGCCAGGTCAGGTGTCTGTTCGTGCCTCCATAAACAGGTGCTCAGCTGGGGACAGAACAGAGCTTCCCGCTGTGACACCTGAGATGGGTCTGGACACAAGACTTCCTTCTCCACCTCCTGCCCTACGGGGAGCGCGTGGCCTCACTTCCAAGGATACAATTCATGCCTGAATGGGAAATGCCTTTTGGAAAGGCCACCTTGCACAGATCCCTCCCTGAACACAGGGAGAGCACGCTGTCCCTTGGAGCTCCCCCATCATGGAACTAACACCATGTCCTGCACAGCCAGGTGTCCCAGCACCCACACCCCACAGGCACACACACTCCCTGCTGCCAGTGACTCATCTGAAGCCTGGGATTCACAGCCAAACATTCATCCAACTGAGATTTTGGAGACCTGACACCTGCTCTGCAGACAGACCAAGGCTGGCACGCCGTGGGCATGGGGGCACCACGTCCCCTCCCACAGCTGAAGCTCAGAGGATGTTTTGGATGCTTGCTGGATTTGCAGAGGCGTGTGAGCACAGACCACGCCGGCTGGGTGCGAGGACAGCTTGGCTGGGAAATTACAGAGAAGGACTGTGCACACAGCCAAGGGCTGGGAGCAGCAGCAGCCTCACTCATGGCCATGGTGGTGAGGAGGTGCTGGGTGGAGGGTGCCCAGCTCGGGGAGCCTTCAGAAGGGCTGTGTGTCCTGGTAACACTCCTCGATGTGACTCACCCAGCCCTGACCCTGCATCTCTGCCCCTGCCCTGCCAAATCTATAGGGACAAGGATCTGGGAGACTGCCCTGGCCCAGCTTTGTGGTTTGGGCACAGCATTGCCAACACTGTGCCAGGATGGATTGAGATGCTTGGCATGATTGGACCTGGCTGTTCATGGAGCAGAGGCCGGAGCTGGGCACCACATGGCTCTGTGCTGCCCAACGAGACCCCCAGAGCTGCCTGGCCCCAGCAGTGCCGAGCTCAACAGCTCATGGCTGGGGTGATGTAGCTCAGCAGCATCCCGTGGGGCCCAGCACTTCCTCTGTGCCTGTGAAAGCGGGGTGGCAGAGCAGGGTGGCAGGATTGAGGCCCAGCATCTCACACTCACTGCATGGCTCCCTGGCTGGCACAGATCAGGAGGGTGAGATACCGAACGGCAGCGAGCAGCAAGAACCCGGGATACACCATCTGTGCCAGCTGTGCCCAGCGGCAGGAGCGGAGCTGCCACCATGGGACGGGTACCCCATGCCAGCCGCTGTCGGCAGTGGGGGCTCCCCCGGCCGAGGAGAGGGCTGGGGTTCCCCAGCAGCCCCACCTGCGGAGCTCCCGGGGCCCGGATCCTCCGCGGACGCCGGGATGG